AGGTCATAGTGGCTCACACCTGTAATCCCAGCACTTTGGGAGGCTGAGGTATGTGGATCATGAGGTCAGGAGTTTGAGACCAGACTGGCCAACATAGTGAAACCCTGTCTCTACTAAAAATATAAAAAATTAGCTGGGCATGGTGCTGGGTGCCTGTAATCCCAGCTACTCAGGAGGCTGAGGCAGGAGAATCGCTTGAACCTGGGAGGCGGAGGCTGCAGTGAGCTGAGATCGCCCCACTGCACTCCAGCCTAGGCAACAGTGCGAGACTCTGTCTCAGAAAGAAAAAAAAAAAAGGATAAATATTTATCTTAAAGAGCCATGAAGACTAATTTAGTGTATACCAGAACAGCTTGTAGACCAAAGCTTTACACATTTCATAGGCAGTTCTTCTGTTTTCTGCCTATTGTATATGTGATATCATAGTAACTATGAATGTTTGGTTTTAAAGGCTGCATTTTAAAAATATGTGATCCAAGTAGGGACTTAGAGAAATGAAGGTTCGAAGTGATTAAGATCAAACACTCTTACGTTTCAAGGAGAACGGAGTCTATTTTGACTAAACATCCTTCAAACATTTTGGTTACTCAATAACCAAGAGTAAGACCAAAGAGAAGGGATCTAGTAACTAGAGTGCCTTCATTTTCTAAAATATAAGGCATTACGGCCTCAAAGGGAAAGCATTAAAGCTTGTCATGGAAAAGCTACTACCCTTATGAGAGCTTTCAGGTAATTTAACAGTATGGCAAATTGGTGGTTCTAATTTATGAAGAGTAGTCTTTCCCATCATTTTTTGGTACTAACAAACACTTTTCCTTTCGGCAACTGCTCTCACCTCATGTCATCTTTGTAGGATTTGAACCAAGAGCTGGACAGCTGACCCAGAGCCAATCATACTCTGGCTTCCTCTATCGTGATTACTGAGGAGGTGACACAGAGGAGCCGGTACCTGCTGATTACATCTTGCTCCCGGGACCCTGTGTGCTGTCCTGGCTCCCGTGCTTCCTGAGGCCCAGCTCCTCTGCTGCTTTTCTTTTGTCTCCATATAACCTACCACATGTACTGAAAAATCACCTTTTGCTTAAGACAGCCAGCCAGATTCAGTTAGTTTCTATCACTTCCAACTAAAGAACCCCATCTATAAAGCATACTTTGAGTGATGGATACTCTAAAAGCCCTGACTTCACCTACACGATCTATGCATGTAACAAAATTACTCATATCTCATAAATTTAGACAAAAAAAAGAAACTAAACTAAATGAATATTTAGATAGAGATAACGGCTACAAGTAGACAGTGGATCCCAGCAGGGTCTTCAGCCCAAAGCTGCTAGTTAGCTGAGGGCTTACCTATCAATAGCTGTGACAAAACCTGTGGGATACTGAGTTGGTTTGAATTTTTTTACAAATACGCTGCACACTATCTATTGCTCTCTTAAAACTGATTAAAAGAAATATATTATTAAGCTACTGGTCTTACTTTTGGCAAATCTAGTACTACACCAAAAATGTAATCAATAGCTAGTTTCAGGGAAATTATGAAGAAATTTTATGAAAATCTGGTGGTTGACTGAGAAAAATTATATTGAGGTGAGAATATGTTTGATTTTAAAATTGCTAGTTCACCGTCCATATGTATACAGAGAAATCTCTGTAGCTAGAAAGATGACATTGCAAATATGACCAGCAGATGAAAACCAGAACGAAACTGCTGGCACGCGGAGCATTCCGGCAGGGAACCCCTTAAGATTTATTATCCTGAGCCGCACTTCCAGCATATGCATGAACACATTCAGATTTTTGATTGGGTTCCAATTTTAGACATTATTCTTTCAAATGCATATTTAGAAGACAGCTATGATTTATAATTGATAGCCAATTTTTTTAGCCCAAATATATCCACTGAAAAATACTATGAAAGATGAAGAAAGGATGTACCTTCTCTCTTTCTATATAAAATAAAAACCCTCTTCAAGATGATATGTTAATTATAACATGACTGATTAAACTAGCGTTATCATAGATACATATGTTTTTTCAATTATGACTCCCCACATTCCCTTCTTCATGTTTTATTATGACATGATCATTATTTTAAGTTTTAATAATTTTTTTTTTTTTAAGAGCCATCGGTTGGTCCTGCTCTGTTGCCTGGCCTGGTCTTGAACTTCTGGGCTCAAGGGATCCTCTTGCCTCAGTCTCCGAGTTTCCGCGATTACAGGAACCAGCCTACTGCACCCAGCTATTTTACAGTTCTACATATGAACAACTTTAAAGGGGAGAGGTTTGGGATGGAGAATAACCCATATCACACAATTTAAAACTCCGTAAGAAGCAGTAGTTTAAGCAGCTTTGCCAGAGTAAATTGTGATTTCAGACTGCGTGAATTTTAAATTTCCTCTGCTGTACAAAACCACCCTAAGAACAAAAATAGACAACAGACTACAAATCCCAGAATTACAAAGTTGTTTGGAATTGTGAACAACATTGCCTGCTCATGGGATAATCAGTTAATATGATGGAGATGTTTTATTACATGATAGCACCACACTTGGATACAGTGGTGGGAAGATTCCAGGAATCAACAGTACAATGACATGTCTTTATGGGTTCACATGTTAGGCTTTTAGTATGATATTAATATGGTTCTGAGCTGCAGGTTGATAAGATATTTCTGGATTTTTAATATAAAAATGTCTCAGAAGTGCGAACCTTTATGGCCTCAGCATGATTTTGTAGCCTTAATTCTCCTATAATAAATAATTACAGAAATTATCTACTTTATTATTTTTTCCCCTTAAATCATCTTTACTGTTACTAACGAAATACTAGAGACAAAATCAGCTGATACCAACAGGAATAAAGAAACCACTTTTATCATGAAGCTCTCCTGCTGAAATTCTGGGTGATAGAGAAATTAAGAAAATTAGGCCAAGGTTCTTTCATAAGGTCACTTTGGAAGACAGAATATAAGTTTGAAGTATGTGTGTGTGTGTGTGTGTGTGTGTGTGTGTGTGTGTGTCTGTGTGTGTGTGTCTATGTGTGTGTGTGTGTCCTCAAGCTCAATTTGAGGAGGTGAAGTCATTAAAGAAATTAATAGGTAATATTACATTTTAACAAAGAAAAGATGTGAATTTGGAGGGATGTAAAATGTAACGTCACCCTGCAGGTACTTCTTTTTATTGTAATTCAGGACATACACAGAAAACTTGCCAGCAGGTTAGTGATTACACCAACTATGGCCCATATTCCAAATCTCTTATCAAACTTTGGAGAGAATGTGCTACCAAACCAAACGTAAAGACAACCTCTTGTAACTTATCTGCAACACACATGGCTTAAAAAGACCATGAAGGCTCTGCATTCTGGGAACTGAAATTTCCACATATTAAAGTCCATGCATAATACAGTTTTTGCTCTGTAAGTCAAGAAGCGAGGCAGTGAAATACTCTGGTAATTAAAATAACAAAATCAATATTATCCATAAATAATGAGCATGCAACGATCTGCAAGACGATGAGTAAACATTTTGGCAGGGAATGAGTGCCACATACTGGTGTGAGCAGCAATGTCTTCATTAAGCGTCTCCTATTTCTCCTTGCTCTCCCACCCCATCAATCTAATGGGAATTCCCAGGCAAAAGCCTTCTGCTTAGCTTGTAATGAATTAAACATCCATCCTATTTCATCTTTAGCATTTCTCTTGCTCTCCGCACAGGTGGACAACTGTCGCATCGTGGAAAGACTGCTGGATAGGCATGCAGAGGCCTGAATGAACAGGCACAGAGAGGCTTAGATTTATGCCCAGGTTCGGCATGTAACATTTTTGTCTTGGGGCCTCATTTGTAAGGTAAGGAGGTTGAAGTGCACTTGATGATGCCTGCATTTCCTTTATAGCCTTAATGTTCGTAATGTGGAAATGCTCTATCCTTCTTTGAAAGGCTGCTCTACTTTAGATTTCTGATAGGTTTCCAATATAAATAACTTCAGCGCCTTCCTCTATTAAGGAAAAAGGTTTAAGCAAGAAAGAATGTTCTTACTTCTATGACAAAACTCTCCCAGTTATATCCCTCAGAAAGATTCCATGAAGTCATGTCTAACATTTGCAACTGTATGAATATAAATATTTAAGTTCACTGTAGCGCTATATATCCACACGAAAACATTAAAGTGTGAAAAGACTCTTCCTGCCCTCCACAAAAATTTGTGACACAGAACTTTTTCACAGCCAAATGTGAAATATGATTCATACTCAGAATGCAACATATTTTGCATAGAGACTCCATTAACACTGGAGCCTTTTCGTGTATACAGCCACATAAAATCTTAGGCACACTGGTAAGAAATAAATCATAACTGAGACTGGTAGTGGCAGCACCCAACTGGTTAAAGAAAACTACAAAATTACTTCTATTTTACTAATGACAATTCATACATAGTTTTTTCAGATACAGAATCTCACTCTGTGGCCCAGGCTGGAGTGCGGTGGCACCATCATACCTCACTGCAGCCTTGAATTCCTAGTCTCAAGGCTCCTGCCTCAGCTTGCTGAGTAGCTACAACTATAGGTACATACCACCACGCCTGGCTAATTTAAAAAAGTAAATAAAAAATAGTGAGATGGAGTCTCACTATGTTGCCCAGCTGGTCTTAAACTCCTGGGCTCAGGTGATTCTTCAGCTTTGGCCTCCCAAAGTACTGGGATCACAGGTGTGAGCCACCACACCTGGCCAGTGATCACTATTAATAATGCTTTATTTCCTATGTTATCAATAAATGCCCCATAAAGTTTGTATTATGTGACTCCCACTACCACTGTTACATAACAGCCCTTGATACATATTTTAGGTAAACAGCACAATCACCACCACACCATTATCAAGCAACAACACATGCCCAGGTCCTTTAAAACCTTAGAAATGGAGCAGGATGGAGTGAAAAGTAAAGTGAAAATCTAAAGATGAGCATATATAAATGTGCATGTCTTTAGAATATGAACACAGATTCTAGAAATTTCTGGAGCCTTAAGTCAACTTAAATATTTGGTTCACAGATATTTCCCACCAAACAGTCCTGGTCCTATGCCAGCTACACAGACACACCAAAAGGTAGCTTCCAGATTTCTGTTATGTATTTAGGAATAGAACAGCTGAATGTGACCTGGAAACAGCCACTCTCCTGTGGATTTGATATCAGAATATACTCGTTTCAATTAAAAAGATCTGCCAAGAAGAAAATTCTATCTTCACATTCAATTATCTAATAAGTTTTCCAAATTTGCTTCAAATGAAGAAAAAATTTCTTTTTTCTGGTATTATTGTATGCAAGAACGCGTGGCAAGTATTCTAAATATGGCTTATAATGTGAAGGGTCGTAGAATATGCCACTCCAAAATTTGCCACTTTGGCATAAGAATTATTTTGAGCTGTAGGCAATGAAAATGGAGGAGACACAAGAAAAAGTCTCTCCCTCTTTCTACCAGGAAGGGCAAGGCCATTCTTAATCACTGAAGACAGCTCTCCTTTATCAACTCAGATAGCATCAGAGGAATCTGCACAACAAATCTCACCAACTATCCCTCATCCCCCATTAGTTTCTCCCATGTATTTACCTCCCTATGATTGTACGATTGTACCTCCTAGAAGCTCAAAATCCTTCTCCTTTGTCTTTTTCACTTCTCTAAAAAACTGCTTTTTGTTAAGATGCTATAAAAGTCTAAGCTCTAACCACCCCTCTGAGTTACTCATTCCCATGTGTATGTAAATGCACGTTAATAAACTTCTGCTCATTTTTCTTTGTTAATCTTTTGTCGGTCTAATTTACAGGGCCCCAGCCAATCAACCTAAGATGGGTAGAAGAAAAAGAGTTTTTTACTTCCCCACCACAGTCACAGAAGAAAGGAAGGCATGGTCACCTCCATTTAGGGCCAAGGGTGAAGGCAAAAGGAGCAGTCGGATGAAACAGAGAATGAAATTCACATGGCTGAACCCCAAAGGCTTCATCAATCTTCAAATCAGTAAATATTCCTGGTGTGGGGTAGTACTGAGGGGACAGACTTTCTGATAAACAGAGTTCCAAGTCTGGCCTGGTTTGTGACCTTTAATTAACTCTATAGTAAATGAGTTGTACAATGATCTGGTATTTGTCATTGGGGTACCCATAGAGCCTGCAAGAAGTTCTTATTGCCATTCTTTAATCCCTTCGAGTTAGCAGACAGTTACAGCAAGCCTGGCTCCACTCTAACATATGCCATGGGAACTCTTGGCCCTGGTGCTCTCATCTCCTCCCTGGGTATGTATAATGTTGCCACACTTTCAATTCCAGCAGATTTTGTTTGCCTTATACAGATATTCTTTTTCTTCAGCTCCAGAGGAAATGCTGCCACATGAATGAGGCCAGCGGATGCCACCTCTTATAACATTATGCAAAGAAAAATGCTACTTAAAAATTTAAACCACCTTAACTCAATAATGAACATTGGTTTGGGAGCTCAACAACAGCTACAGACTTTCCCAGCCTACTGATTTTCATACCTTACCTATTCATAGCTTAATAGTGTTAAGTTAGGGGCTTTTCTTCTTTCCCTGAACTTTAATTACTGATGTGATGAATGCTTTTTTTTTTTTTTTTAACTGATTGGGGTATTTGTTAAGCCACCTTCACAAAAATCAGTGTTCCTAATTCTCAAATACGGTGTTTGCGGGTTGAACCCAAGCCAGAGCCAAGCTAGCTGTTGAACTTGACATCTAATCCTACAAATGACTCAGTTGATAGATGGGGGAGAGCGACTGTCACTTTCCCCTCCTCTTCATTGCCAGCATGAGTGTTTAAACTTTCTGAATTTTCTGGGCCAATATTTCACAAAGAAATAACAAGTGTTTATCACTTTACTAGTAGAGGCTGGGTGATTCATGGGGCTTCTTCCTAGCCAGGTGATTTATTTCCATATACTAGACTCACAGTACTTACCTAAGGAAGATTCAAGGTGGTATATATTATAGAAATCTTAGCTAGCTCATGACCAAATAAAGTACACGTATTAAATCCATGTATGCTCCTACTAGAGTCAATTTAGAAATATCTCCAGGTCTTTCTATGTGTGTATCAATCTATAAAGCAAGCACTAGCTCAACCCTGCTTTCCTTACTAATTCTAGGTCTTTGCTCAAAAGCTTTCTTCTTTGGGATGGATTTTCTGACAGCCTTGTTTTCCTTTATATTCCCCCCACTCCCGAGTATAAACTCTCAAATTCATCTTAAATAAAGCTGCTAACTTCTCCTTCTAAACATTATATTATAAATATGTCTCCTTAGAGCATTTCCCACATTGCATATTATGTGCTTGTATGATATCGTATATATGCGTATGTGTGTGTCACACACACATACACACACACACCCCCACACACACACATCTGCCCGGTAAGACAGGTAGACCCTTTAGGATAGAAGCTATGCTTTATTTATCTTTCTAATCTAGTGCTGTTTACAGTGCCTGGGACTGTAAATAAACGTTGCTGAATAAATAAAAGTTGAATTTTCTCAAGGCTGCTAGTAAACATCACTTCTGTTTTTCATGGATTACTTCTCTGGAGATACAAGTGGTTTACACTTACTAAACAAATAACATGCTATGAATTATGCAGGAACATCATTACTTCAATACTTCAGAGAGGAAAAGTCAAGAAAAGAAACTTTGTTATTTACTCCATGTTTCACATTTAGCCATTGAGAACCATGTTGCAGAAACTGGATCTCATACTTGACAATTCTGTACTCTACCCATTAGCTTGTGGCATGAGATCAATCAAGAGTCAAGAACAGACCCGATTTTTCCTTTTCCTTTTATGTAGTGACCATTAAATTATTACACCCTTAGCTTTCCAGGCTGAACAGGGGATACGCTTTAGCCATGGTAAGAGACCAGGAAGGATGACCCGGCTCTGAGGCAGAGTGTAAGCAAATGACTGTATCCTCTGTGCCCCATTTCCCGCTCTGTGAAAAAGAAAAGCACAATATTTAACAACATCGCCAAGCTATTGTGAGAGTTAATTAGATTTAATGGGGGAAGGGAGGTGAGCTGATTAGGCATGATTCAAATTCAAAGTGTCATTATTTTGTATCTAAAAATAATCCTGATTTAGGAATAAAATTAATTTGGAAGCTCAATCTTTGGTAATCATCTTCCTATACTTAAAAAAAAAAGCCATAGTTTTAATCAAAATCTCATTCTAAGTATAATTCAATGAAGTAAAACGGAATTTCCATTCATCTTTAAACTAATATAGCCACAGTTCATTTTTTTAAACTTTCCTTTTTTTTCCTTAACAATACATTATGTGTGAAAAGGTTAATTTTGTCAAATGGAGCAATATAAACAAATACAGATTTTGAACCTACTTTTTTTGTTGTTTCACATCAAATATTTGTGCAGCACTTTAAATTGCTTCTCTAAAGAATCAATAATCAATGTTTTGTGGTTGAAATAACTTTTCAGGTTGTTTCAGCAAAATCCCATCTGTAGTTTTGTCTGAGAACTCATCAGTTAAGGAAGATCTTAGTAGTCTCCAAATTAAAAAAAAAAAACAAAAACCCTGGATATTTCAGGCTAAGGCAAGGAAAAAAAAAAAACATTGAGGCTGTAATCCCCAAAACTAATGTAACAGATTCATTGATTGTGAAAATCTTTGTCAGAAGTTGAAATTGGTATTTGCGAAATATCTGTGTCTATAAATCTTTGAAAAAAGGAAAATATTCTTTAATGGGAACTTAGATCATAGCTGTTAAAAAAAAAATGTTACACTCAGGGTTTTTGGTGAATGAAGAGTTTTGGCTGGAAAGGAACTCTATCAATTTTTATTTAGAGCTGTCCAGAGGAAAGGAAGACCACATAGTCCAGTTAGTAGAAATGTAGTCTATATAGAGAAATAGGAATAATTCTCTTAATTTTAACACAAGCCCTATTAAAATTTCCCATAAGACCTACAATCACTCATATTAGACTATACTCACCAAGCAAACTTTTGATTATTCATTCGATTTCCCCGGACCCTTGATACTGGGGACGGATGTACCCTGTAGACAGATGAGAACAATTCAGTCATTGAAAAAGCACATTCCCAATTGCAAAGTTAAAAAATGGCATCTGTTTTATAAATAATCTCTTTTAGAAATGCTTAATATAAAATCCCCAGAACTTGATCCTCTCTTAGTAAATGATGCAATTAAATTACTATGCCTGCAAATCTGTGGTCCTTTTTTCCTTCTTGACCACTCTCAAGACACTGACGACTTCCAGAGGCAGGACTGATGCACTCATTCAGTCCAACTATCCCTCGCCAGGTACAAGAGTGGGTAAAGGTTACCTAAGGTATGGTGACTGCCTTCAGTGAGCCCTCTTTGTACTTGTTGCCATGAGGGTGGGCCCAAAGAGGCATCTAAGTGACCCCTTCTTCAGTCTACTACATTTAAAACTCTAGGAAGCAAGACAACTTGATTCGAATGTGCTGTAACAGAATCTGCGGGCACAGGAGAGGTACTCCTAGGAGAAGTACCTTCTGGAAGTGATGTGCTACCACTGGCCTTTGAGGAAGGTAAAGCCAATTCAAAACTTTTGCCAGATAAAGGAGAAGTGAAGAATATACTGCTTTACAAGCTTCCAGGGTTGGACTCACCCACCAGAGATAGCTTAAAGCTTCCGGAAACTGCTGTTATCTTCCAATCAAAGCCTCGCTAGTAAACCTCCACCTCTTAGTGGGTCACTAACTGGGAAAACAATATGCCCTACTTCCGGCTGCCAGCTTCCTGTTTTGGTCTATCTTTACCAGGATTTGTGAGATCTAAGCAGTATTAGCTTATATTACCTTCGCCCTTTACATTTCATACATTGCTCTTATTTACAAGAAAAACAAACAGGTATATAAAACTGGTCTTACAGTCTAGTTAGCACCAACAGCTCCAAGATTTGTTAAGAAACCCAGTTCTCTGTAGTTGTTTAGCAAGTGAAAATCATTCCAGAACAGATAATACGGTTCCAGCCCCGCCTAAGGGCCAACTGCAGTCTTTCCCTAAACCCAGAGCCAGACTGCACTTTGCACTCGGAAGGCTTATTTCTTCCAACATCCCTTATTAACATTCTTTTCCTCACAGTGCTTCTCAATGACTGCTGCAGCTGAGCTGCTCAGCACAGATTTTCTGCTCTGCATGGGGGAGGGGGTGTTAATTATGCAGAAAGATGGAGAGAGGCCAGACAGCCCCTCTGGTGAACTGTCTCATTCAAGCACGGCCCACTTCCTGCTGTTTTGCAGCTACAAGGATCACCTGTTGGTCTTGGCATCCAGCCAAACTGGGGCCTAGTGGAAACGACAGACTCAGCTAGAAATTAAAGCCAGTTCATAATCCAGTATCCCAAATTGGACAAAGGGGGGTAAATGCAATAAAAGTACATAAAAATTATATGAAAGGTAGCAAGAGTAATTTTTTTCCTCCTTTATTCTTTTGTTTTTTATTTCTGTCTTCTTGAAATACAATCCTTAACATGGATATCTGGGCCAAAAAACTTCTCCCCAGTTAAAGCCCCCTGACCTAAGAGGAAATGCAGGAAATTCTCCTGAACTTTCCCTGTACCCTCACTGGTGTATCAGAGTCCTTTTTAATTAAAGTTTAATCAGCCCCAAATACTCACAGTTCTTTAATTTGTTCTCTATCCTTTAGACATTTACCTTTTTCACTGTCCCCTCCTTAACCCTCGGCGTACAAAGAAACTACTTCATCATGAAAATTCCACCGGGTGAAGTTTAATGATAGAAGTATTCTCTTATTGATGCTGTTGATTGCATACATTAGTGGAGAAAAATAGGGTCTGTTCAATCCATAATTACAACATTCTCTAGGTATTTGTATCTTTTAGGAAAATTTCACTGATCCATAGATCAAATACTATAAATGAAGAATTTTTATAATGGTTTAGCAGTCTGAGGAAAAGAATTCCTTAGGAAAGTCTTTGGAAAAGAAGTCCTGATTGTGAGTGTATGAACAAATAATTATAAGGTTTCTTAAATTAAAAAGGTAAATCAAGAAAGCTTTATTTTGTAAGTACACTGATAACTTGGCATATATTCCATCTGATAAAGGAGGCCATAAGCCTTGCACTTCACCAACCCCCTAAATTGTATTTCTTCAAAAGGATATGGCATGTTTTGTGAGCCCAGTCTTTAAACTGTGACAGTTTTTGCCATCTTCTTCTGCTTCTTTCTACATATAGAAGCCAGGCAGGTAGCAAAGTCAAAACCTCAGTAGGAGAAACCACCACCTAATCTGCATGTCATGCATTATTCATGACCTCCTGATTCCTGCACCTGCATCTAGGCAGGAAGCTTGCAGGGAATGTTCATTATTCTTCCCTTAGCCTCACACAGGCTCGATTACTGCTAAGCCACTTTGTTCTGTAACTAAGGGTTTTAGGCCTTAGTACTAACTGCTGGATATGGAAAGAAAAAATACCATGCTCAAGAAAAGGGCAATCTTGGTTGTTGTGTAACATGTATTGAATATGCTCTTCTGAGACTGACAGTTTGTCAGGTGGAAATGCTCACATTTGGTGATTTACATTACACAGAAAACAGGGAAGCTATACCATTAAGGCCATGTGTACCAATTGTTCCATTTATATACACTTACTCATCTGGAGCAGAGAGCATGTTTATAATTTTACCCAGCGCAGAGCTTAATTTAGCTTTCTTGCTAAATATATGAAAACTTTTTAGATGACTTAATAAAAAAATGACTCTTTCTTCTTAGGGTATAGACACCAAGGAACCTGACTCTCAAAACCTTGCATCTTAATGACTAACATTTATAGTTAATCAAGAGAATACCATCACTCTGGTTTCCAGTGTTTTCATAAACCTACCTGAATGGCACCCCCTGGTGACTGGAGGTGGGATCTAACACCTTGACCCCCAACACAAATCATCAGCCACTCGTGAACTGCCCTGGGAGGATACTGGTCCCACTTTACTATCTGCACCACAGGAAAGCTGTGATAACTTAATGCAGTCTTATCATCCCAAGTGGAATTACGATGAAGAGGTTAAGAGTGAAAATTGTGTGACCAGCCTGGCTGATTGAATCCCAGCTTCACCGTTTACCAACTGTGTCATTTTTGGGCAAGTTATTTTAACCTCTCTATGCCTCAGTTTCCTCATCTGGGCAAATGGAGGTGATAATGGTGCCTATTACCTAGGGCTACGAGGTGTAAATCAGTTAACAGCTACAAAATGTTTAGAATGGTGCTCAGTACTTAGGAAGCAGTCAATACATGTTAGCTCTCATCACTAGCAATGCTGATTAGATGTGAAACGATAGGAAGATAGAGCTGGCTATCCAGGTCATTCCCGGGGATTAAGATTACAAATCTACAGGGCCAGCAGTCTTACCTACTATGATCATACAACTTTACTAAAGGCAAGGAAACAAACAAACAAACAAACATGTACAGAGTAATACAAATAAAAAACTATGGCTTATAAGGTATGGCTTACTCTCAGGCAGCTCATTAGAAGACCTATCTTCTGTTTACTAAATTGCATTGTATTTAAGTTATACCCCATTCAAGAACAAGACAATAATCACAGCAATGCAAATTTGCACCCATTTACAGAGTCCTTACTATTTGCCTAGCATCATGCTAAATAATTAAGACATATTATCTCAATTTATCCTCTTGTCATTACTGTCCACATTTTGTCTTTGAGAAAATAGGCTTAGAAAAGTAGGTAACTAGCTCGGGTCACATAGATAGTGAAGAGAAAAGTCAGGATTTAAACACAGGTATGTCTGACCTGTCCTACTCATGATGATGTAAGATTATCATCTGATATATATATATATATACACACACACATATCAGATGATAACAGATATATATATATATACATACAATAGGTATATATACATACATATATATGTATGTATGTGTGTGTGTATATATATATGTATGTATTCCCTCCACCCAGCCCAGAGGATGTAATAAGATGAATTACCACCAGATTCTTAAATAGGAGATTTTCCATTTATTTAAGCCCAATAGAACATTTTGGAATATAACTAGATACAAAGTGGAATGGTTTTCTTGGACTAAATATGAAGCATGTGGGTACTTACAAGAAGTACAGTCATAATAATATACTTTAATACTCTTTAATACTTTAATACTCTTTAATTGTTTATGAGTGTTCCTTGTTATATTAGCATTGCTATTTGAATATATAATGTACAACACACTTAAATTTTAGGGGGCAGAAATTAATTCTACCTACATCCATGCTTTCTCACAGTCCATTTTCTCTAGAATCCAACGTAGTTGGTGACCACACTCCTCTGATGAAACCACCCTCGTCACAGTCATCAATAGTCTCCATGTTTTCAAATCTAATGGTGAATTCTCAGTCCTCATCTTTCTCAAATTCTCAGCAACAGCTGACATAACTTATCACTCCGTCGTTGAACAGCTTCTTTACTCAGCAGCCAAGACATTCTTCTGGTTTTCCTCTCTTCTCTTTTGCTTGACTCTCCTCCTCTCATTCTTACACATCCTAAATGTTGGCATGGGCTAGCTATCGCTTTCCTAGGACCTCTGCTCCACTATTTAAACATGCTCTGTAGCCGAAAGAGGCTCCAGTATAGCTACCCTCACGACCTTCCCAAAGGTCTACCTCCAGGCTTAGATCTCTGAATACCAGAGTTAGGTTTCTTCATATCAACCTTTCTCTGAAAAAAACAAAAACAAAAAAGGTGTTCCTTCTCGTATCTTCTCAGTCTCAAAAATGGCAGAATTATTCACTCAGTTGCTTAGGCCGAACACAACAGAATAAAACGTGAGTCCACTTGTGCTCACTTGTGCTCTCTGTAAGAGAGGCTGTTTCACACTGAGAAGAAAGAGAACAAATGACTATTTCACAGACCAATGAAATCTTTCTTGTAGGACGTTACTCATCTAGCAAGATTAGATATTTTATGTCAATATTTTAAGAAATTATTATGTACAAATATGTTCTTTTTCTAAATCCATTTGT